AATAAAGGTTATAATGAATTACTTATACATTATTAGGTGTTATAGACCTTATATTCCAATTGTATAGTAGGGAAGAATTGTTGTATAAAGACCAGTATCCGAATTTGTATATAACAATTGTATTAACAGAATTATTCGTTCTTATACTGAATATGTTTCCGTTTTTAACGTGTAAAACGCATCTTATAATGGTTAAGTGATCGTCACCTCTCGGTGCATAATCGGTTATGGTCGTTGTTAAGTTATATTCATAGTCTTGTAATAATAATCATATGTCAGACCCGAGAGCGAAGTGCGCCGACTCAATAAGAACCCTGGCTATTCCAGCCGCTGATTTAGGGTTCGCCGCACGAGCTCATCCCTTCTTTCTAAGATTTCAGTAGCATGCTATGCATGAAGTAGAACGGTACTCAACTGTCTTATACAGTCCACTTTTATTGTCCATAGATGTTCAATCATTGTCAAAATAAACACACAAAACCACAACGTCTTTATTATCTTTACTCAAGAAGAGAAAATACAACAATCGTAAAATTTCCGACAGTCCGCTGTGCATCGACTTACACACGTCTAGTTTGATGAAAATGGACAGTATATGCACATGTTTTGTGGGATACATGATCATATCTCGTTGTGTGAAATGGAAAATTATTATGTAAGTATCTAACTGTTTTATGGCTTGTAATTGTTTTGTTTTTTCAAATGTAAATCTTGTCTAAATCTTAAAAATTATTATTTTGTAGGTCCTATTAGAAATCGCTGATGTTAAGTTTTACATAAGATGGAGGAACAGAAGGTTAACAAAGAAAAGCATGGGTATAAAGTCAATCAACCAGAGGAAATAAAATTATATGGAAAGAAGCTCAACCTTTCTGGGGATGCTTCATTCTTAAGGTGGAAGAGTTATAGTGCAAATTCTCATGTAATACAAGAAAATACGGGTGCATCGTTGCTAAGAAAATAAACTGGACAGTTTTGGGAGCGATTTGTCATCATTTTTAGTGCTTAAAAGTATGTTTTATGTATGTTTACATTAGAACTTTAGCTTGTAATTACAGTTATCCAATAAAATTTCTGAAAACATAATGACATATGTTTTTAACTCATACAGAGTATACAACAGTTTAATACATTTATAATTATAAAACTTATAACCAGTACTAGATGTTCTAATAACGATATGGAACACTTTAATAACAGTTAAAACGTTGTATACTAGTTATACAATAATTTAATAAAGAATAAGGTTTATAGTCACTATACAACTGTGCTAGCAATACGCGTTTTATATCCAATATTCACCTGTTTAACTGTCACATATAGTATACAATGGTCTTATAATGGTATGTAGAATTCTAATAAAGAATAAAACGCATTTCTTTCAGTGTATACTTGTACCTAAACCGGAGTAAATATCTTTATTATTACGTGATCCCACCCCTTTCTATGGTTGCTATACGTTGTCTTTGTCTATTCCCATCTTCCCCGTTAGGCAATCTCAAGTCTGGGTAAACGATTACTCAATAATAATTAAATTTAGAGAAAAAGTCAATCTTAATTGGTTTTACATACTCAGAATAGAGTCAAAAGTCACATACTTGATAGTTGTGTAAAATTCACTCACTTCTGCTGCAATAGTTTCACTCATAAAATTTTAGTTGTACTGATATTAATAGAGTGAATATTTCACTTAATCGGGTGTGGACAGAAATTGAGTAAAATTGAGTGAAATTTTTTTACAGTGTAAATTCAACGAAATTCACTTTTTTACATAGCTTTTATTATGTCGATACAAATTAGTATTTTGTAAAAATAATACGATTTAGAATTAGAATTATACAGAATGTTATATAGATATTAGAATTAGACAGAGTGTTTACTAATAAGGCGCCAAAGATTATTTTCTTTCATAAACAATTGTCTTTGTCTCCATTTTTGTTATACATGATGTGAAATTAAAAGAAAAGGTGAAATCTAGAAGGTGTATTTAAATGAAAGAACACAAATGCTACCTGATAGACTTGGGACCAAAATATGATAATTGGGTCAAATAAACATTAGCCCAACATAATTGCGTCATTATCAAGTCACAGGGTGTTTAAGTTTTAAGTTAAAAACATCACAGATTTGCAAATATCCCGAAAAACACCTGACGTAGATCAACAAAGCTTTGGTTGGCGCTTTAACTATAAAATAAAGGTTGTATTTCACTAAATTTGTATATACTTTTATCAACCAGTGACGGAGATACCGAGAATCCCAGAATTTCGACGGCACTAAATATTTTGAAAGATCATTTAATTCACAATTCTACTTCAGAGAGAAAAAAATCTCTTCCATATTATTCCTAAACGAATTATTTTTTTAGAATAAAATAAGCTTGCTGTATAGTTGAATAAATAGAAAATAACTCGAAAACTGAGCGTGTTTCGCAAAGTAAAACATTTAAGAAATATTCTTCGTTGCGATTACAATATATTAAATACCATACAATTATTAAGAACAAAAAAACATACGCGTAGAAATATTCAGTTTTCTGAGGGATAACAAAGGGGAAATTTGTACGCCACTGATCTATCCCAACTTTTAATGTATGCATTGTATTTAAAATATGTAAGTATTCATATTTTTTTTTGTAAAATTCGCAGTTTTATAATTGTTTCAGATTTATTCAATTTTGTTAACAGCTTTGTTTTAGGGTAAAAAAATAACTCGAAAATAATTCGTTTGTGAATAGAATGGAAGAGATCTTTTTCCTTTATAAAACAATCACGAACTAAATAATCAAATAGATATTCCAAAATGTCCAAATCCTTAGCTTCCTATTTATAGTTTCATCCAGCATCTCCGACACTGGTTGGTATAATTACAGGGTGTTAATGAACTTATGTCAAAAATATAAAGGGATGAAAAAGGAGCAAAAACTAAGAGTTAACTGATGTCACAAACTTGCATCGGAAGTTTGAGGTCATAGAGAAAAAAGATAATTAAAAATGTGTTTAAAACTGTTTTGGAACTGCTGAAATACATGTATTTTATCGCGGCGGGTATTGACGAAAAATTCTATGACACTTTTTACGAGTTTATAGGTTTCTTATGAAGCTGGACTGNATAATTGCGTCATTATCAAGTCACAGGGTGTTTAAGTTTTAAGTTAAAAACATCACAGATTTGCAAATATCCCGAAAAACACCTGACGTAGATCAACAAAACTTTGGTTGGCGCTTTAACTATAAAATAAAGGTTGTATTTCACTAAATTTGTATATACTTTTATCAACCAGTGACGGAGATACCGAGAATCCCAGAATTTCGACGGCACTAAATATTTTGAAAGATCATTTAATTCACAATTCTACTTCAGAGAGAAAAAAATCTCTTCCATATTATTCCTAAACGAATTATTTTTTTAGAATAAAATAAGCTTGCTGTATAGTTGAATAAATAGAAAATAACTCGAAAACTGAGCGTGTTTCGCAAAGTAAAACATTTAAGAAATATTCTTCGTTGCGATTACAATATATTAAATACCATACAATTATTAAGAACAAAAAAACATACGCGTAGAAATATTCAGTTTTCTGAGGGATAACAAAGGGGAAATTTGTACGCCACTGATCTATCCCAACTTTTAATGTATGCATTGTATTTAAAATATGTAAGTATTCATATTTTTTTTTGTAAAATTCGCAGTTTTATAATTGTTTCAGATTTATTCAATTTTGTTAACAGCTTTGTTTTAGGGTAAAAAAATAACTCGAAAATAATTCGTTTGTGAATAGAATGGAAGAGATCTTTTTCCTTTATAAAACAATCACGAACTAAATAATCAAATAGATATTCCAAAATGTCCAAATCCTTAGCTTCCTATTTATAGTTTCATCCAGCATCTCCGACACTGGTTGGTATAATTACAGGGTGTTAATGAACTTATGTCAAAAATATAAAGGGATGAAAAAGGAGCAAAAACTAAGAGTTAACTGATGTCACAAACTTGCATCGGAAGTTTGAGGTCATAGAGAAAAAAGATAATTAAAAATGTGTTTAAAACTGTTTTGGAACTGCTGAAATACATGTATTTTATCGCGGCGGATATTGACAAAAAATTCTATAACACTTTTTACGAGTTTATAGGTTTCTTATGAAGCCGGACTGTATTCGAAAGTCAGTTTGTAATACATTGTTGTAGCGATTGCTGTGCTGTTTTTCGAAAGTACATTTAATAGCCATATTTCCAAGTTTTCTTCTTCTGAAAATGGCGCATTTATTTAGCAATCGCGAATATTATGATTATGATGATATGATTTCGAGTTCTCAAAAGTTGGCTCCTTGCAATGACGTAAGTCAGATTATAAAACTACATTTTACTCAACACAAATCCGTTGGTTCAATTATCGTATTTTGTCCAAAAGATTATCTTGTAGCATTTGGGTCTCTTCAATTAAAGACACCCCGTACAATAGAAATACAGGGCTATTTCAACAGAACAATAGCTGTTGCAACTGAAATATGTAGATATTCACTTTCTGAAACCCAGTTGAACAATTTTATATGTCAAATGTGAATTGAGGAATAACTCGCTTTGGATGTCGCTCGTTGTAAATTAATGGTGCTACATAAGGACCTAAAGCTTGTAGCATTAATATTCCAAATATGAATGGATACAATGCGTTGATCAATAATTTCTTCTGTCAGAAAAAGACTCAGCCTTCTTAACGATAACAGATTGCAATCCGCATTAATTTTTTTCTCTATATCATCACTCCCGTTCAATTTGGAAGCAATGTTAACTGTTTCCTACTTCGTTTAGACCGCTTAAGTTATTGACCAGAGGATTTGCATTGCAAACGAACCGCTATCGTTATCAAAACAGAATCTAGACGGAACGTATCGGCAAAAACGGCCAACGCATAATAAAACCCTTTGTCCACAACAATAGACTTAAAACCCAGCGCCGCAACCACGACGAGAGATAATAAATTATCGCTAGTAGTAACTTACATCTGTACGGATAAAAGAGCTTCTGGAAATTCCGTTGTGGCAGGAACTGCTTAAATGTTTGCTAGACGAACTACTTGTTTGATGCAGATGGGATCCATAGTCCGACGAGAACGAGTCTTTGTTACTCTGAATGGTCTGGAAAACAGAATAAAACGTATCAGGCGGGAGGATAAGTATGGTGGAGAATTTGCAGCTGCATTTTAACTTTAAAGAAAAAGAACTCAATAGCATTTAGTATAAGTTATCCTAGAAAGTAAATGCTGTCACAAGAATCATGAGTGTATGTGTGTGTATAAAATACTCTTCTAGCAGTCTAGTAGACCACATGTTTTAATTCATTTGTGGCGTCGTAATGCAGCACAGTGTTTTAACTACTTGATTTTATGTGAATTATGTTAACTGTATGTGAAACATCAATATTAACTGTACTGAACTTTGCTTAACTTTTACACACAGGCTTCAGTATTTGTGAATTACTGGTTAATTAATTTTATTTATTTTTAATTACACTATGTTTTGTTTTCAGTATAAAGTTGTTAAAAGTGAACAGTAAAATTATTCAAAGATTCACCATATCCAGAGAAAAATGTAATAGATAAATTTTCCTTATTTCTTAAAAATACTATGTACGTTCTCTGTTTCTTAGGTGTTGTATTTCATACATCGATTTGTAAATTTACATTATGTGTAGGTTAAAGAAAATTACAGGATTAATGTGGGTTTACTCTGTGGTGTCAAAGTAACTCATTAGTTATACCATTATCTAATATTTAATTTTACATTAAAATATTTATGAATGAATATGAAAGTTTATTGGATTTAAGTTTGGAGATTTAGTAGTTTGTTTCTCTATTTTACATTTTAATTTTTCTGTATTTTGATTTCTTATTCATGTCGATCACCAACTTACTATNGGAACTGCTTAAATGTTTGCTAGACGAACTACTTGTTTGATGCAGATGGGATCCATAGTCCGACGAGAACGAGTCTTTGTTACTCTGAATGGTCTGGAAAACAGAATAAAACGTATCAGGCGGGAGGATAAGTATGGTGGAGAATTTGCAGCTGCATTTTAACTTTAAAGAAAAAGAACTCAATAGCAGTTAGTATAAGTTATCCTAGAAAGTAGATGCTGTTACAAGAATCATGTATTCACTTAAAGAATTAGAATTAGAAGAATTATGGATAATTCCACACATTGATATATTTTTTTTACATATTTGCAATGTATTTACACCCAAAGAATACAAATGAGTCGTACATCGTAACAATCTAGTGTTGTATTATCGTGTATGTGTGTGTATAGAATACTCTTCTAGCGGTCTAGTAGACCACATGTTTTAATTCATTTGTGGCGTCGTAATGCAGCACAGTGTTTTAACTACTTGATTTTATGTGAATTATGTTAACTGTATATGAAACATCAATATTAACTGTACTGAACTTTGCTTAACTTTTACACACAGGTTTCAGTATTTGTGAATTACTGGTTAATTAATTTTATTTATTTTTAATTACACTATGTTTTGTTTTCAGTATAAAGTTGTTAAAAGTGAACAGTAAAATTATTCAAAGATTCACCATATCCAGAGAAAAATGTAATAGATAAATTTTCCTTATTTCTTAAAAATACTATGTACGTTCTCTGTTTCTTAGGTGTTGTATTTCATACATCGATTTGTAAATTTACATTATGTGTAGGTTAAAGAAAATTACAGGATTAATGTGGGTTTACTCTGTGGTGTCAAAGTAACTCATTAGTTATACCATTATCTAATATGTAATTTTACATAAAATATTTATGAATGAATATGAAAGTTTATTGGATTTAAGTTTGGAGATTTAGTAGTTTGTTTCTCTATTTTACATTTTAATTTTTCTGTATTTTGATTTCTTATTCATGTCGATCACCAACTTACTATTTGCCTCATAAAATAGATTAGATTAGAAAACGGACAAATTAATTTGATATAACACTGTTAGAAACTTAATTTATGAACACTGAACTTTTCGAATGCCAATCACTCAAGATATAATAGGTTAAATAAATTTTACCAAAATGGAAATTGAAGATTTTTTAATCTACTTTCTGAGAAAACTTGTATTTTTTAATAGTCAGATGAGGAAAATTAGTGGCATTCGAAGAAATCGAAAAAAAAAAAAATGAAAAAACCGAGGTTTCAACGGATCCCTGAGAGCAGCCTAATAAATCGAGCGCATTTTCGATATTTTTCCCTAAAAGGTAATATCCCTTTACCTTTTAACATACCACTTGCTAAACCTTTTTATCTTTTTTCTATACATAGTTCTACGATTTTGACACTAAAGTAGTTCCAACCGTTCATAGTGCGCCTGCTAGAGATTGAAAATTCAATGGAATTTGAAATGAATGAATTTTTCCTGTGTTCAGATATTCTGAAAGAAAAACTGTGTGTAAAAAAACAAGTAAGGTACCTAACACTGAAATTGTTGGGAAACAACATTAATGCTACACTGAAAAAAGGATTTATTTGGACTAAATAAATATCGTTTGCCATGAACTAATCCTAGTTTTGGATATTGCCTAGCATATATATTGTGAAAAGTAACTAATAATAAGTTCATAGTTTTGTAATAAATCTTATATGAATGTTCATTTATTTTTAGTGTAATATCACATTTCGCCTCTTTATTATTAATCTACATATTTTAAGATGTAGATGACATAAGATTATTAGAAATATATCTTAGCTTAATGTGAACTAACAGTTTTTCAGTGAAAATAGGTTATTTTAATATTAATAAATGAATGGTTTATAGAAAGTGAATTGTTTTTTTCGCTAAAATTGGACGCATTTCTTTCTTGATTAGTCTCAAAATTATGTACCTTCTCAAATTTAATTAAACTGATAATTAGATAACTTATCTAACTAAGTTTATAATTTTTGAAATGGTACATAGTGTTGAGATCTACTAATAGAGAAGCACATGCGAGTATATACGATACTTTTATTCGAATATTTCATTTTTGTTAAAAATTAATTTTAAGATTTGTATTTTCCGAACTTATTATATACATACATATATCGATCAAAACTACTTGTCATAGTTGTTGACAGTTTAATGATTAAAAATAATTGGCGGATTGTTAAATTGGGTTTTATTATAAATTTATGAAACTACAACAGCAACACTATGTCCTTATTTAAAACTGACTTTTTGACGATTATTACTTGTTTGACCCTAACTTCCACAGTTTTTGCATCCATTTTAATGATGAGTAAACGGAACACAGCACACAGCACTCTGTAACTATATGCACATGTTATATTATGAATATTATCTAAGAACAACAAGAAACACTACCTTTTGATATACTCGTAGTCCATACCGAGGTCCATACTAGCCTACTGAACTACACAATACACTACAGGCACCTTGCATACATAGTCGCCATGATGGCAAAGATACGACTGTCAGGGGAGAACACAACTTGGTCACGTGATTGGAATAATTTTTAAATAATATATTTTACTATTGAATTGATAATAGTTTTAAACTATATAAAAATTTAACTTTTATAACCAGCTGGTTCATATTTAAGAAATTATATATTTGGAATAATTTTCCTTTAAAGTTTAATTGTAACGTTAGGTAGGCCAATATAAAATAATAGTTATTAAATAAAAACGAATATAAATTTGTATTAAAAATTTATTCTTTTAATTTGCCTAACAAATATTCTAAAATCATAAATGGTTATATTAAATCTAATTTGTTAATTATAGACAAATCTGTTGCAAACTGTTTCTTTTTTAATTCAAACAAATCAATTGACTTGTATTGAATGTAACTGGTTTATCTCAATGTAACTAGCATAAATGTAAACTAACTGCATTCAAAACAACCGATTCCCTTAATAGAAAGTAATTGTTTTTTCAGTGTAGCTTTACTGGGAAATTATGTGAGAAAATAAGTTTCCAAGTAAGAAAACACCATTTTGTCATCATTACTCCTCTCATATTCAAGCTCATACATATCAAATTGCTTTTGAAATTTACTAGACAAATTAAATGGTAAATCTGCTTTGTGTACCTATCTTACAAATATAAGTCAGGTAGTTACAGTTTATTAAACCTTAGAAAAATGAAAATTAATACACCTTACATAATTTATAAAGAAAAACAACTCTTTACAATATAAATGACCAGGTATAATGCTGTACACTTTTCCACTGTAATATCATTTTTCGGCGCATGGAAGCACCTCTAATTAAACTACAGAACACAGAACACGATTTATATTTTTCACTATTTACTGCTACACGCCAGGGCTGGCTAGATTTAGGTAATATAAATCACCCGATGTCCAGAGTTTGGAAACACGAGTCTAAATGATTACCATTTATCAATTTTTAATTGAAAATGACATCTAAACAGAAACCATTAATCTTCCAATTATAGGATCCTGTTTTCCGTTCTACGAAAAGCTAAAATAATACTCAAACAAACATTTCACTGGTCACGTAAACACAATATTAATTAAATCCAATCATTGACTTTATAGAAAACTCATTCTTTACATACTTTAAATACTTATAACAATATATCTTTACTAAAAATAGATTTTTGGTTAAACTTTATATCGAATAAAAAAGTTTCTATAACTGTGTGTTGGTAAACGCTTTATTTCCGAGATACAGGGTGCTCAAAATTTACAAACATTGATTTTAAATTATAAAACACAGCGCTGAAGGTAATTATTTGAATAATGTTTGTTATTATTTAAATCTGAACACAAAATAGTTGGTATAGACACATTTGAAGTTTAATTTCAACTGTTTTTTTTTCTGTGATTTATAGGGATTCTGCAAGAGATATGACTCAAACGAATTTTAAAAAAAACTGTTGCTACTTCTGCAAGCAATCAGACGTTTATTAAATTGTATGTGGCAACTTTTCTTGAACACCATGTTTAACATTGCTGTACTTCGTTGCATAATCCCAACCAGTAGTTATAAATCTGTTACAGTAACCTTGCCTTCCTTTGTAACACATTACGTAAATATCGAGAAATATCGCGGACTAGTTTCAGTCCGGAATTATTAAATGAATATTAATGAAATTATAAAACTACTTCCTTACTTTTGTATACGTGAGTGATGCCTTTGAGATCAGTGGTCCATTTCGGGAAGATACTTTGACTAAGTGTTGGCCAGATTTGGAGGACAGAACTTCCTTCTGGTGGTGGTTCGCTGGGCTCTGGAAGGAAAATACATTATTTTGATTTATCTAACATCCTGTTACCGCCACACGTATTCACATTTGACACCAACGCAGCAATTAGAATATTCAAATTCAATGGATGAGGAAGATATAGGTGTATTATTGTATTGAATATATTACGCTCATAATAGAGGGTTTTGAAATTGATGTTAATCACTTCCAGTTAATTTCAGGCTCTTTAAGACCGCTGTGAAAAACATTTTCAACTGTCGATTCACAGAATTTATGTAATACCTATTGGCACTTTTTTATTTCCTACTTACAGAACAATGACATCCTTTTCAATTAATTTTTTTCGATTGTTTTGTGTAAAAAAAAACTGGATACAAAATGCTTCAGTATAAAATTTAGTACCGTAAAGTAAACTACAAATAATTTAATGAAAACTATAACAATAATAGAACACATCCCTTGACGTGTACAGATAATATCTGTTAAATAAGAAACAACCGTTGGATTCGAACTGAAGTATCATGATTTAATAATGCAATAAATTTCAAAGAGAACAGTTATTACGAAGTCTTAAAACTATGCACTTTGGGCAAAGAAATTTTAACAAAGTTAATGGCACACTTATCTCAGTGTATGCAGATGCCGAGGAACAAACTAGGTCAGCAGTTTCTCCATCCAGAATGAATATGTAATGTAAGTAGGTAATTCTGTTGGAGATGAAGTAACATTTTTGATTCGACGACTCAACAGATCGTAAATCAAGACTATCCCCGACAGTTTGAGAAAGGTATTTAACGGGGATGAAAAATTTTCAACGCGAATAATAATAAAACTATTTACAGAGACCGAAAATGGTAATAGTAGTTATGTGGTAATTTATTTCATGTTGTGTTGTTGGTATTTAAATAAAATTTATATATGTCGGCATCACTCTTATAACCGCTTATGAATTCGTAGCCACTCGAGGAACTGCCACCGTCGATGGAGTGTTGAAGGGATTATTTTTGTTTATGTTACAGAAATATTTAGAGTACCAAATTGTTATCTTTTCAGGGTTAAATTCTAGTCTGTGTGTGAAAGACCATCATTTTCCAATTTCTGTGGTTATATTTGGTAAAAAGTAAACAGATAGGATAGGAACGCGCAAAGGAAATGCCCCTGTTGATAACTTGTGTATTTCTTAACTGCTTCAAAACTCGAAAGTGTGGATAATATTATATAGAAAGGTATTTTTATTTCAAATTAACAGACTTAATCGTTTTCGAGATATTTGGGACTAAATAAATGTACATGAAATAAAAATAATAATAATTTAATTTATTTAACAAAAAATCCCTTTATCAGTTTCCTACATCTCTATATTATATATTGGTTGATAGCCCAGGGATTTAAAGCGTCAGTTCTTAAATTGCTGATGGTGACAGAGAGGGTTTGAACCCCGCGACCAGCCGGCCATAGATCACTTGTACTTGTAGACCAAAGTTGGTTAGGTCAATATGAGAGGCCAATACCAGACAGAGTTTAATGTTTCTATAATTAAAAGTCCCTCATTAAGCAATTCTTGGGCGCAAATGTTATCTGCCAAATAATAATATGTTATCCCTTCCACCGCACAAATTTTAGACCTCTGGGTCTACCACTTGAGAATGATTTTTTGTTCACCAATATATTGTATTGAATTAAAATATCAAGTTAAAAATGTCTGATATATATTATATAATATATACAGGGTGTTTCAGGCAGAAGTCGACAAACTTCAAGAAAAAGGCTTATTTGACTCACACATACTCAAGACTAAGACCAATTTTAATAGGTACTATATTTTTTTAGATTTTATGAGGAACTTATCTTCCTAAAGTTTATTGACAAAATCCAGAAGCACCCTTCCGAAAAATCAATTTTGCCATGAAACTAGAAGAGTTAGGAAAAAAGTGAATGTACAATTTTTGTCAATAAAAAACTGTTCTATCTAAAAACAGCATCATTTTTTTCATAATTTAATGAGTCTGAGTCCCCATAACTCCGCCACGGGTTGCTTGCGGGACTTCTACTTCTATGGAAAAATGGTATCTTATAAGAAGATTTGTCATGCTAAATTTGTCTTAAATAGCCTTCTTCATTTAGAAGTTATTTAAAAAATTCGATTTTTTTTTTAATTTTTAACGCCCTATATTTCGAAAATGAAGCGTCTGGAAAAAAATTTATACTTGATTTTTTTCTTATTTTTTTTATGAGGAATATCTCCTTAAAGTTTGTCGATTTAATCCTGAAACACCCTGTATAATTGTTAAACAAATGTATTAGTTACTACAAAAAAACGGCTAAAAATCGCATTTTCTAAAAACTCATATTTCTTTAAAATGAAAAAAGATTCTTTTACGAAACTTTCAGAATATGTACTCCTTGGCAAGTAGAATAGGTACATTTTTGTAAAATAAAGTATTAGTATAAAGTATGCAAAGTATTTGATGGTGTTTGCAAAAATTCAGTTTTTCGAAAAAATGATATTTTTTTCAAGTTTCAATAAATCATAAGTAATGCAATTACGTGACCCATCTTGGACTTAAAATTTTCTCTAAGAATTGTACTTTCCTGTCCAATTGTGCGTGTATTGCAAAATAATTGGAAATATGCGAAAAATCTACCGAAACTTTGACTTTTTCAAAAAAAAAATTTTTTTCTCGGTTTCTGTTGGTTTCTATCTTGCAATACACGCACAATTTGCAGAGGAAAGTACAACTCTTAGAAAAAATTTTAAGCCCAAGATGGGTTACATAAGTGCATTACTGTATGTTTTATTGAAACCTGAAAAAATTTAATTTTTTTCGAAAATCTCAATTTTAGCAAAAACTATCATCAAATATTTTCAAATTTTACAAAAATATCCTTATTCTACTAGCCAAGGACTACATATTCTGAAAATTTCGTAAAAAAAATCTTTTTTCTTTTCAAAAGATATAGAAGTTTTAAGAAAATGTGATTTTTAGCTGTTTTTTTTTTCAATAACTAATGCATTTGTTTATCAATTGTCATCAGGCTGGGCTCAAAATTTATAAAAAGTTCTACAAAATTGAAACTAAATTTTGGCTTGTGAAAATACACTTTGTTAAAAATAAATAATAAATAAAAAACTGATAACCTTACTGATAGATCTCCTAACTGAAATCACAATCTCACCTTAAGAATACAGAACTGAGAGTCCATTTATGAAGGAACAATATTAAAAATAAGGATGGAATTGTCTGACCCTAAAAAATAAACCAGACAGAGAGATTTGGTACTCATACCTTCCGCTTAACTGTACTCGCGTCAAATTTACTCATAGATCAACCACCCACTGTGCTACGCGGAGGAGTTAATCTCGCTTTGTCCCCCAGTTGCATCCGTACGACAGTTCTCAAATTATCCCATAAACAAAGCGAGAGCTCACACGTGTGACACACACTCATGAACCCGTCCTGACCCAAAAATTCCAACGCTTTACTATTTGGTAAAATTCCTCTGGAGTAAACAAAGCGGGAGCAAAACTCGAAACACATGTGCGCTATTAATAGTGACAAGTTCATAAAAACTTCGGGTGCACTTCATTATTTGGGGCAACTTCAAGTGCCTGATAAGAGAGCTCTTTCGGGTTTGGCGTAGAAAACGTGTATTGCAAGTCAAGGACTCTCTGTATAGGGCGTTGAAAGCTTCAAGCACATAATGTATAGTCGTGGGATACGACGTACAATCCATTGTTAACTTGTCTTGATTTTTTTTTTCGAGTTTACGTCGGACTGAAATAGAAACCTTTCTAGTTAATAGACGGAAAACTTTAATATTTTTAGCAGCGTTTTGCATTGAACACTCTACAGTGTTGGGGTATATTTAGCGCGTATTTTAATCCTGAAACGTGGATAGTGTTCAATATCGCAGTTTCTGTGTGGATGTAACTCATACGCAATTTTATTCCGATGGAAATGTTGCAAGGAAACACGTTTTAGCGTCGTCGTTCAGACTTTATCTCAAAAACAGATAAATATGTATACAACAACAAATCTTTAGTTCGCGGATTTGTTTACCACTTCAGGATATTTTATCCATAAGCATCTTAAGAGATATTTAATGAGGTATATCGGGGTCCGAGGGAAGTGAGGAGCGCAGGGGGTCCTATGCTTTTCTTATGGGACTAAAGCCCGCTGCCAATTTGAAAAAATTAAATTCTATCGAAATTATTTCCGATAAACATTATCTATATGGCAAAGAAATCTACTCATGTGCACATAGCATACATATTGACTAATTAATAACATAAAAATATCATATTTAAGTAGTTTTTAATTATATTTAATGAACGCATAAAGACTATGTAGATGTGGCAACAGCGCTAATAATTGACTAGCAGTTGTACACACTGCGAACCTACAGACCTTGGACATCGGAGATATTGCGCGTCAAATTCGGGTAAAGATACGCGTTCAAAAATGTATTGAGTGTAAACTATGTACAATATAATTATTATATATAGCAAATATATCGTATTATCCTCGCGAAGATTTGTATCCTTTATTTAAAATCCGTAAATTATGTGAACTGGTAAAACAACGAGAATTATGTTAATTTAGTTCTAAAGAAATGAAATGACACTCGCGCCCATCTCTCGTCCAAGTCGAAGAAAATGTTGGATACAATTTTGAAGGTTCCGTGATGGAAATTACATTATTACTCACTGTTGTGTTTTTAAACTCTATTTCAGTAATGTTACAAAAGTTTTGCAACTATAACTAATTTTTTAAATATAAAGTTTGCTGTGAAATATTTACGTTCCTTTGTTATTCCGTACAAATGCTTTTATCTCAAGTATTACTAATTATATTAATCAAGTAAAGAAAACTTTATGTAACCCTAAATATTGCTGGGTAATGATTACGATGTTTTTATAAACCATTAAATATATTAAAAGGATTTATCAACTGTATCTTTTATTCCAATAAATATATCACAGCTTCCTAGTATTTTTTAATTAATCTAGTTTTTTAAAAACA